GGTTTGCTTCACATGGGAAAAAGGATCCGGTCCTACATGCCTTTCAGATGGCAGGCTCTGATGTGCAAGAGTTCATAAACTACAGCCATAGGTAAAAAGCAGCGACTACAGGACCAGGGTTGGTGGGTAATAAACTAAGAGATGGGATGAGAAGGGCACAACAACAACAAAACTACTTGAGATGCAACAAAAATGCTGGTGTGAGGCGGTTATGAGATTTAAACGACTAGTTTAAACAAGTACAAAGACATTTTATCACTCATACCCAACCAACAAAAATATGTTCCCTAGAATGTTTGGCTAACATTTCCTTAAATTAAACTTTTTCTGAAAGTTCTCTGAACATTCAAAACATTCAGGTTTTTTAATGTTTACAATTTTTTTTCTTCTTGGTTATGTGAACATTAAAGGCGACATTTATTAGAACATTCCATTTTATTATTTTGCAAACATAATGGAAATGTTACTTTTGAATATTCTCAACCATCTTAGACAAACGTCCAACCAAAACTTTGAATTACGTTCTATTAACGATTGTAACGTTTCTAGTAACTTCTGGAGAGAAATAGCACAGCCACTGCACAAAGATGAATCTTTCTAGTGAATCTTACAGGGGTTTTTCCAGATAAACACAGAAGACTAAAAATTCTCTCATACAGACATCACCTTTGAAGTGATAAAAATAGCTTCAATGTACTTGTTTCTATTAGTAGCTTTTGGTTTAGTTAAATATATTAAAATGATAACTTGACTGTAGTGTAACTATTTTAAATTATGAATAGCTTACAGCTTGGTAAGGATAGCTTACCATGACTGGCATTTAGTTTTAGCATAACGACAGAAAACTTCCTACCACACAAGTAGCCATGCGATACTGCGTTATATCAGCACACAAAATATATTTTAAATATATGCTGTAAACAGTGGAGCTCAATGAAATATATTTTGAATTGAAAAGTTAGCAAATGAATAGAGTGCAAGTCTAAAAGGGGCAAGTTTTTTTATATAAAGTATAGAATTATAATAGAGAGTGCTAGAGTTAGAGGGTCAAATAAAGATGGAAGAAGTGTGTTTTTAGCCGATTCTTGAAGATGGCTAAAATATACCAAAATATATTTAAAAAAAATTTATTAGGGACAAGAAAATACATTTCCTATTTCCCAGTAAAAGCTTAAAGGCTATTAAAATAATTTTTAAAAAATTATTAGATTTTTAAAACATATTTTTAAAAAATATACAAAATGGCCAAAAAATATTATATAGGTAGATAATATATTTCTTAAAATATATTCTGAAACACAACCTATATATTAGCAAATATATTTTTTGCATATTTTAAAATAAATTTAAACGTATATAAAAAATAAAAATAAATTATATATATATATATATATATATTTTTTTTTTTTTTTTTTTTTTTTTGCTGGGCCATAACTTGCTTCAAATTAAACAACATGTTTTTAGCTAAATTGGTCAGGCAAGAGTGAAGACGCCTTCTAGTACAATTATTATTATTCAGTTAATGAAAAAACAACACAAAACTTGAAACTCTTTTTATCAGCAGTAAACGGCAGGAACTATATTGACCTTGATGTAAGCTAGGCTATCAGCACAAAAACTCCTGGTCGGCTTTGTTATGGCTCCAGTTTTGCGTAACAACAACCATGTTGTACTGCAAAGGCCGTTTCACGTCAAGAAACCTAAACAATGAAACAGCTGACTCAACAACAGAGAAAAATATTAGCTCAAATTCTGTGCCAGAGCTAATTTTAACTAAGTACTAAATGCTAATGTAATGACAGGGTATTTCAGATTAGCAGTTGACACATACAGGGATTTTAATGGCTGACACTGCACAAGAAACCAGTGTTACCCAAGATGATCTCCAAGCCTGACAAAGTTGGTTAGGCAGGTTTTGATGGTTTTAATGAGATAAACTGGATAAGACCAGCAAACCACCCTAGGCTGGTAATAAATCACAAACATTCACAAAATAATATTTGAAAAAAGAAAAAAGTGCATTATCCATTGACAAGGCTGGCAACAGATTTTGAAATTGACAAAGAGAAGCACCGATACACTCTCATGGCAATTCATAACTACTTTACGCTTTGGTGAATTTTTATGAACGAGCACAATCTCATTCAAACGTTTCTGTACCCTTATACACTGAGGTTTAGGGGTGGACCTTTTTTTTTTTTTTTTTTTGAAAATTATACATTTTTTGTACAGTTTAAATTAGGGATGCACGATATTGGATTTTTGCCGATAACCGATATTTTTCAACTCATTTTGGCCGATAGCCGATGCCGATATATTTCCAAGTCTCTCCAGTGTGGAAATTATAAGCTAATTATTTTTAATTTTGGTTTTTAACAAGAACTTATTTGTTAGAATTAAATAAACTATAATTAAGTTATTTTATAATAACAGTACAATGAAGCTTTGGAAATAACTATAAATAAACTATATATCAATTGCTGCATTTTTGTTTTCAGAAAGATGCAGTATTAACCTTAACATTTTATTTTAAGATTTAACATTTGTAGATGGTCTAAAGCAAAAGAGTTGTAAAAATTCTGAAAAACTTTGAGATCATAATTTGTTTCAAAAATTTATCATATTACACATTAATGAATAAATCAGTATATATAGAATTATTAATTTACATGTGTCATGTTTGTGATTTTTTTATTCGTGTAAGCTATAGCTTCTGACCTTTAAATCAAAACATACTCATGATTTTATGACATCAATTACTGCTTTATTTAATCAGAAACACAGTCTAAATATTATTTGTGTATTTTACTTTCATTTTATTAGAAGTAGGCCAACCGCGCCCCCTACGGAATTATAACTCATTACCGAAAGGGCATTAGGACCCGGAGGAGGCTGCTGCTGCTGCCGCTGCACGTGCTATTACTGTTTACTCTATCACACACCGAACGCGTCATTCTGTAAGTGCATTCTCAGTTTAAATGCAGCGATCCAAAACAGTTAATCCAATCACTATTCAGGCAAAACTTTGCTTCAAGAATGAGCCACAATGCTGATGTGAACTAATCGCTACACACCCTGAGCACATGTGAGTTAATGTATTCCTCTTATCGGCAAGACATATCGGCATCATTTTTCATATCGGGCCGATGCCGATATTTATATTTAAAGCCATTATCGGCCGATTCTGATATAGGTCCGATAATATTCTGCATCCCTCATTTAAATAGTATGAATTTATACGAATTTGCAAACAATTCAATAAAATGCAAAATAGTTGCATTTTCTCTTGAGATCTGGTTGGAACTTCCAAAGTCGACACGAGTATTGGCCAATGTATGATCCATTACGTAATGAATATAAATAATATTAGTATTTATCATATGTTTAATATATTTATTATGTAAATTATAGTGTTTAGTCAGTCTAGACAAAACCATTAAACATTAAATCCTACAAAATACTTTCTTGCATTATAAATACACCTTCTGGCTTTGGCGATTCAGTCTCAAAATCAAGCATTATATATAAAAAAAGATTGACTGTATCTTGACTACGCCAAGGAAACGCAATGATTCATGGGAAATGCCAGAAACAGCAGTACTTCATGGAGAAGTGCAAACCATGATCTTCAAAACAATACTAGCATCTCTGTTCCTTTTTAGATTAGTTACAACACAACATGCATATGCAAATCATACCAGCCATTCAATGCTAGACCACATTTAAAGCCACCATTTTGCAACTATTTCACCAGATCACTAAAATGAAGAAGCACGTCTTAAAGTGCTCACTGTGCAGCTTTCATGAGAAGCAGAAAATATCAAAATATAGAAGCTGTCCGGAGGCTATCCCTGGTCACTTCAAACTCTGAAAATAATAGAGACACTGTTTCCCCTTCCAAAGCACAACAACATATTAAGGATTATTGTTTACCAGGGGGAGGATGAGTGAGCGAGAGAAAATAAAAGACAGAGAGGGGTAAGAGAAGATGGGAAGCAGATGATGGGATCATTTCATTCTGCCCCTCCATTTTATCTCCATTCAGATGCTCAAATAACAGCTAATACACTCGCCAACCATTTCACCATCATTGAAGAGTTCATTTTCAGTGCTATCAAAAAGGTTAAAAAGCAATAAGAATTTATTTTTACCATAAATTTTGTATCAGTATGATTTTTAGAAGCCATTGTCCATGACACTGACTGAATTTAACAGACTGTAAGAAGATTTTACCTCAACATAACCGTAGACGCACATTCATCTGATAACAAATCCTCAAAATTCAGATGCCAAACAGTCTGAATAGGCTAATTTACACTTTACACGAAAAAGTATAAAGAAAGAAACAGTGTTCGCTAAAACTTAAACTTATTTACTTTTGTAAGATTTCTGAACCAATCAAAATATTCATATTCATAACGTATCTGGCTAATACATAAATGATCATAAAAACCCTCAGCATGCTGATCAGGACCTTGAGGCGAAACGGAGGTTTATGTGATAATGAGCGGCTGATTGTAGTGTACTGTACATTATCCTCCTTATTACAAGGCTAGTTAGAAAATAAATCAATGTACATGAAATATTGATTTGAGTTTAAATTATTTTATTATGTAAGTGATACAAGAGACACTAAACTAGCACAGCTGCTATATATTAATTGTTGGAATGCCATTTAGCGAACATTATAGCGCACAATGCTGTAACCAATCAGAATAAAGTGTTATTTCATCCCACTTGTGCACTCTTGGTTACATTAGCAGAAAAGAGAAGTCATTTCAGAGGCAGGGAAAGTTATTAAATGTTCATAAATGATTATGAAAACACATTTGGTGTGAATTGTGAACACTGACGCTTATTAAACAAACAGGGATGGCTTTGATTTCATGTGGTAAAACCTCGTATGAATGACTCAACAAAAAGGCCAAGTCAAATTGCCTCTTTCATCTCTAAAAATGTCTAGACTGTTAATGGAAGTGATGCTGAGGAACAGACAGTACCTGTGGATGGAGTGGAACTGCTCATGGTAGTAAAGCAACACGAGGAGGTGGAAACAGGAGGCTCTCCAGATGCCTACTGAAACACATGAATATGAAAGTTTCAGTCAAAATGACAAGTGGGAATCTGAACAAATATGAGAAACCACCCATAACACACTAAAAAAACACCTATAATGCCAAATTTGGATGTAAATATTTTGAAATAGCCAATTCAAAGCTGTAAAACCAACCATGATACACTGGAATACACTGGAATAAATTCAAATGTACTCCAAACAGAGTGCTTCACTAATTTATTCTTATTTCGTCGTCATACTTGGATGGTGAGATTATACATCTGAAATCTCTGAGTTAAAAACACAGACCAGCGTGGCGAGTGCACAAAAGCAAACAAAAGCCCCTGTGCCGCATTAAAGGACTGTTTTCGGTGCAGAAGGGAAATTTCAGAAGCGCATCAATTCCTTGAGGACGATGTATAACAAGCACACAAAATGCATCCATTAGCTGCAAATTGTTTGTGAGGTAGGCGGATCTAGAATACAATCTATTCAGCTGCAAGATGGCTGGCACGTGATGCTGCCCTCAGATAGCCACACTCGAGAGGAAATGTCTCCATTTGTGTTGTATTTCCTGAGCGAGGCACTTACCGCTCAGGGAATACTGTCGTAATTGTCTTCCTTGTCGGTTTCTAATTTTAGAGATTTTTTTGACTGTGTTGGATTTCTTGTGCTAGACCAGTGGTTCCCAACCCGGGTCCTGGAGGCACCCCAACACTGCACGGTTTGCATGTCTCCTTAATCAAACACATCTGATTCAGGTCATCATCTCATTAGTAGAGCCTCCAAGACCTGAAACTGGAGTGTCAGAGAAAAGAGACATGCAAAATGTGCAGTGTTGGGGTGCCTCAAGGACCAGGGTTGGGAACCACTGTGCTAGACGATAAAATAATGTGCAGAATTTAGACATTTTATGTTTGGTCTACTTCCTTAAAATATATATATATATATATATATATATATATATTTGTGCAATTCAAAAGTTGTATAAATCAGTGTTCTTTTAGTATTATATTTATATACTTTTATAGTTTTTTTTAAATTAGCTGTTATTTTAATAATTTCAGTTTTCATTTTAATTTTAGGTTAAGTTTTGGTAATTTTTTAATTTAAATGGAGTAATTTAAGTACTTTATTTAACTTATTTTTAGTTTAGCTCCATCAGTTTCCATCTGCTATTTATATTTTATTTAAGTTTTTTCAATTAATAAAAATTACTTTTACTAGTTGTAGTTTTAGATAACAATAACAGCTCTGGTTTAAACCAATGTAAGCAAATGTCATCTCTCCTATTAACTAATGCCAAACTGTACAGTTGTAAACATCACAACTTCAATGGTTAGCTAAAACCAAAAGCACATAGGAAATTCTAAATCAGAAAAACTAAACGGTATCATACAACAGTTAGTTCCGGTCCTCAAATTTGATTGGCCGAGAAGCGTTCCAAGATTGAGCGTTGTGAAAGTGGAGTTGTGTGAATTTTTCCTTGAATGAAGGAGGGGGTTTGTTGAAAGCTTGCAAAAGATTGCTGGAAAAAAAAACAGCAGGATCGCTCGTCACGGGTTTTTCTCAGCTGTGATTGGAGTGAGAAATAGAAAACCTGGAGCGGAGCCGAGTACAGAATGATTTGAGCGGGAATGTGAAACTGCTTTTGTGCCACTCACATACTTTGTTCCATTTTTTATTTTATTTTATTATTATTATTTATGTTTTTTTTTGCGTCACTTCGCAAATAAAATCTTTATCTTTTTCTTTATTTGGAACTATTTTCATTGGCAGATTAAAAATATGCAAACTAACGGGCTGAATTTTGCCTGAAAAGTTACTTCTTGTATATAGAACTGCTGCATAAAAGCAATTAGTGTTGTTAAAAGTACCGATGTCGGTACTGAAATTCTAAAAATGTGACAATGCCGATATTCCCCGCAAGCATTTTGGCCATTTTAAAAATACTGACTGGTATCGACATCGGTACTTTTGACAACACTAAAAGCAATATCACACTCACAAGCTGGATTATTGTACTGAATATCTGCAGAGCTGCGGTTTGGCCATTCGCACCCTTGTGATATTACTTAACCATAATGTTATGAAATGAAAGGGTCATTTAAAGATCAGTCATCATGGTTGACATGCCACAACCATGAGGATATTAGAATAAGAACGAGCTCATTTACATACCAATGCTGTCAGTATGTTTTTCACCAGTTTTCACATACAAAAAAATTAGCCAATCACAACAAAGGTCATTTTACATTTAGAAGTCTTAAAGGTATAGAAGCAAAACCAGACTGTTTAATTCTACAGAACAGAGATGGTGGAAATGTCTCACAAAATAAAATGACGAGAAGCCTTGAATAACATTGCATGCAGATTTCAGGAAAAAACAAACTGCTACAAAAGGTCAGAGGCATGGCCTGATGGGTACAGCATGTGCTTCGACATTTTGTGTATGTGGGAGACTCGAGTTAGAATCCAGGTTAGGTCATTTCCTGATCCGATTTGTCCCTCGACACGCCCATGTTTCCTGTCTGCTCTCTCACAGTCTAAATCAATAAAATGGCTAAAATCCCAAAAATGGCCCTTGTAACAAACGGTCAACAGGTATTTGCAGGCCAAACACCAGTGTTAACTAAAGCCTCATGCATATAGATAGAGAAAAAACCTATAAAGTGCAGCCAAGCAGACATCTGAGATCTACTGCAGATGTAAATGAGACGAGGCAGTTTGTAGCTCTTATTAATAATGAGTTCATGCACAGGGTCATGCGTGAAACACGCAGCAGCTCGCTCCACCGTTTGTGTTATTCAACTCAGCCAGGTGTTGTTGGAAGGGAGAGCTCGCTTCACAGGCGGAGCCACTGCCATGCCGTCTCCCTATTGGTGCGTTACTGTCACCTCAGCCTACCAGGAAAGAACACAAAGCTTCTCTTTGCTTTTTTTATACTAAATTCAAATGAGTCCAGGCAGAGTATGAATATGCAAAAAAAAAGAGGAACAAAAACGATAGAATCTCTTTACCCTTTACAGCTAAGCCCCTCTCTGATGTCTGTGACATTTTGTGCGCTGAGACGGGCTGCGGGTGATGAAACACGACGCTGATGCTCAGCACCCGCATCGTAATCGCCATTTCTCTGAACACGCCCTCTGAGGGTCACGCGGCCTCACCGGCACATGCTGCACGTCAGCATAAAACTAGTGATCAATTCGATTTTGTATTAAGAAAATGAAGCCATTTTCAGCCCCATTAGGATCTGTTGCATCATTTTTTTCCCATTATTTTTATGACAGTTAGTCACATTTCCCTCCAGTAGTCATTACCATAACGCAAAATCTCATTCCTTTAATGTCATCTACGTCAGCCAGCTAGATCATTTTATCTTGGTGATATATTTACATCAGAAGAATTTACAAAACAACAATATTCAATATAACACAGAAAACCAAAGGTTTCAGTTTTGCTAGACAGAAAATGTACATCAACAAATGTAAGATTTGTATTACATAAGGCTCATTCACATCAAGGACATTAATTATAACTATAAAATTATTATTAGCACTGAAATTCTGTGTGAATAGTGCAAACCACAGCACAGCAGGCATAACATTTTTTTTACACCAACTAACATAAAATTCGTATGTAAGGTCTGTTCACACCAAGGACGTTAACTATAACAATAACTATAAAATATAGAAAATAGCTGAAACTTTGTAAGAATTGGGAAAACCAAACCGCGCCAGGCATTAAAAAGTACATAAACTAAATTAAGATTCATACATAAGGTCCATTTACACAAAAAACTATAGGACAATAACTATAACGATACCCAAAACAATAACATTTCAGAAGTTGCTGTAATTCTATGAATATAGCATCACAGCTATAACCATAACAGCACAAAGAAACTATATCGCTGGAATCAACAAATTTATTTCAGCTGATGAACGATAAAAACATTGACAGCCAATCAGAATTCAACCTGCTTTACCGAGCTCTTGCATTTAAAGCGACATAATGCATTGGTGCGGAGGCTAATATTTATTATTGTTATAGTTATTTTTATCATGATGTTTTTTCGGAATGAGCAGGCTCTAGCACTTGCCTGACACAGGAAGTGACCGTTCTGTCAACTGCCCCAAACACTATTAGGAATAAACTTGAAAATAACACTGTTGAATCATTACTGTAATGAGAATATGGAGAGATAATGAGGTTCATTGTGCTGAAAATTCATTTGAAGCCTGTTCAAATAAGCTTCATTTGATTTTCGCAAAATCTTATTTTTTTTTTTTTATTATTATTATTTTGAGGTGAAATATGACCTGTGACTGGTTGCATAAACTGCTTAGACTAGTCTTAAAATTTGGACACCTATCTTTTTTCTGCAAGACTGCTCATAACCAAGTCAGTTACATAAAAACTTAGATTGCTGTCATTTGAATCTGTAAAGTAAGACTGATAAAAACTTTAAGAACTGCTATGTCAAACTAGTTCTTAAGACACAGTCTTAATGTGGTGACTATGTTTATGCAACTGGCCTCTGGACATGTTTTCATGAGTTTCACACTGTCAACATCACTGTAAGTCATTTAGTTTGTTCTCCTCCAGGTGTTCTACTTCTATTAATTAATTCATAAATGCATCTTTCTTGTTTATCTCTCTGCGCATTCACTAAACAAAGCTTTACTGGGTGCGAATGCAAATGAAAATGCACAGGTGTGACTGGATTTCTTGATAGTGGAGACGTTGTTTCCACAACAGCAAACAAAAAGCTGCTGCTGCTTGTTGCTTTATGTTATTCATAAGACATGTTGCTGTTGCAAAAAAAAAACAACAACAAAAAAAAACAATCTGCTGGGGAAATTAAAACTTTTAAATGGTCTTTTTAAAATGGAGCGGAAAAGAAGACAAAGATAATTAATAATGGCTTGATCATTTTATAGCCTGTCTGGGGGATATTCTGTAATTAACAGGGGCAGAGAAAATGAAATCAGGTTGTCAGGGTTTGCAAAGTTAATGT